CTTGGTCCCAATGGAATTTCCCATTAGGAACCTACTAGCACTAAGTTGCTAACTGGTTAGCAAGATGCTTCCAACAAACCGGCCATAAACAAACTTGCTTGTAAACCTTCCGCCACAACAATCCCGTCCCCTTGAAAAACGACCAATCACATTCACTTTATTCACTTGTGTAAAGTCGTGCACCACTCGGGAAAATTCGTAAATGCAACGGTTGGAACAGCCGTTTCCCTATGACTTTAAGAAAGAAAAAAAAACCTTAAACAGAGGGTATGGACTTTCAAAAAACTACAATGCAGCAATTGAGTCGATTCCTTCCTGGCATCATCGCAACCCCCATCTCTATAGAGGGGATCAAAACACCTCGCACATGTTTGAGCCAGGCCAACCATTCCCTCTAACGCCCCTCTTTCAGAGACATAGACAGGTATCGGCTATTACAGGCTAACAAAGAACTCAAACATTCCCAATTCCAAAGGAGCAGACCTGTTGGTGAGGTTCAATTTGCATGTTTTCAAAACCAAAACGAGGCTTTTTGGTCCACTCTATAAGGCCTCAAACTCAACACTAATTTTGACACTTTGAATTGAAAAAGATTCCTGGATGGGAATCGAAACGCCTTCAAACTTGGAAACAAAGTCCAGTGGATTGTTTTTAACTAAAAAAATGTATGAACTACAGACTCATGCTGCAAATTTTTTCTTTTTAGGGACAATTTTGGAAAGTAATAAAAAGAACAGTAATAATATCTCTAGCTTAGACAGTTTACCCAAGCTGGGATATAAACCAATAATTGACTAACAATTGATTGTCAACTACAACTACTATTTGTAAAATTTCTTCCATCCAATTAAATGATGATATTTGCTTAGAGGGCGTTTCCTACAGTGTTGTAATGATACTGCCGTCCACTAGAGGGCACCGCTGTTCATTCTCTGAAACAGCTGCCATGTAGCTGTTGAATTGAAAACAAGGATGTGAGAAAGAAAAGTAGAGGATGTTGTGCGGTGCCCCGGGACGCAGTGTGGGGGTTAAGGGTCTTGCTCAGGGACCCAGAGCGGCAGACTGTGGGGGTGGGGCTTGAAGTCAGAACCTCTGGGATCAAGGCATAATGCCCTTAGCACTAGACCGCTGACCCCTCGCTAGGCCACCACCCCCTCTCCGTAATTCATACATTAGCCTATTTTAGGGATGCATCTTCATAAAATAAAATGTCTGAATATCATTTCTTTTATGGTGAAAAACATACTGATACTTCTTATATTAACATATAAAGCATTATAAACATTCTGGGTGTTTTTATACAACTTTCTAACTTTCCCAAAGTTCTGTTATTGCAGGTTAGAGTTTTTACCAATATTGGTCTAAAACACTATCAGTAGAAATCATACCTACTTTTATTTACTTATTTTGTACTTTGGCATATTAGAAAAGGTTTGATCAAGTGATTTTACTCAGAGAACAGACAACAAGATGAAGTAGGAGAACCACTGACCAATTAATTGAATTTA